CACCCACCGCCAACTCTTGGGCTAAACTTTTACCAACGAACAGTGGGATTGACTGTCACATCATAACGCCCCTATGGCTGAAAGGGCGAGCATGTTTGGTGTGACGGGGATTCGAACCCGTAACTCGCAGATTGCGAGTCGAGTGCCCTAACCACCTGGCCATGTCGGGCCTTCTGTAAATTGCAGAAAAATTTCCAATTCATAAAAAAGTGTTTCAAGCTGTTCTAGAGATTCTTTAATTAAATGTGATTGCCCTGAAACAGAAGACTGTAAGAAAAGTGTTTTTTTTTCACATTGGGAGATTTTCTTCGTATAGTTTATGTAATACAGTATACGTAATTTGCAGATGTATATTGGTTATTTCGTAAAGCTACTTAAAGAAGTAATAAATATACATCTGCAAATTACATATAAAATAGTTTTACATATTCAAGAAGTTTGCAAAAATTACCAAACTTTCAGGAACCTAAATCTATCTCCGTTCAATATCTTTAGTGCAACAATGCTTAAGATAGAGGACGTGATCCCTAAAACGAATATTTTATATTGAAGACTAAATACAATCTTATTAAATAGGAATTAGGATTAAACATTTGGGTGGTCTTAGATTAATAATAATAATAAAGCAATTAAATGAATTCGGTGAAATCCTAATGTTTTGAGATGAATATATCAGATTTTAAAATTATACTTGTCAGTTTTTTCACATACAGTTTACTTAAAAGTATTCATTTTGTGCTAATAAACATAATGTTTTTAGTAACTTAAGAATTATGTTAAACATAATTCCAAACTGTTTACGAGAAAATAACTATAATTGAATTACGTCGTCAATCTGTTTCCTCATTGTTGTTTTTTTCAGTTTTGTATTTGCTAGTTGTGAATCCCTAAAGCTTATTTGTGTTCATAAAACAAATGCATGTTTGTTTTACTTGATTGCAATTTCTACGTCTTTGATAAATTAAAGAAAATCAAGAAACAAGTCTTAAATTGACTACAAATATATTTAACACATTCAGTAATTTACTACCAGATATTGGACTAAAACCAAATCTACACAATTTCAGTAGAATATTTTATCGAAAACTGAGTATAATATTAATGCATATATATGCTCAACAGTACTTTCTACCTGTAACTCTTTAGGCTAATCATTAACCTGATTTATAGCAACATTTTCTTCATATCAATGAGAACCCCTACACCCCTACAAATCAACCTGTCAGAGGATGTTTATTGAGATAATACCTAAAAAGGTCCATAGATGGCAACAGTGTTTATTAGAACTTTAAACAGGACAGAATATAATCATTGAACATCGTTCTTTTTGTTTGTTTGTTTTTTGCAAATGACCGGTAAAAGTCACAACCCGTTATTCACGGGAATACCATCGAGATATATTTCTACCATTTATTTTGACCGTCCTGGATAATAAAGGATTGTTTGTTTGTTTTTGAATTTCGTGCAAAGCAACACGAGGGCTGTTTGCACTAGTCGTCCCTCATTTAACAGTGTAAGAGTAGAGGGAAGGCAGCTATTCATCACCACCCACCGCCAACTCTCGGGCTACTCTTTTTCTAACTAATAGTGGGATTAACCGTAACCCCACGGCTGAAAGGGCGAGAATGTATGGTTAGATAGAATTCGAATTCGCGACCCTAAGCTTGCCAGTCGAGCGTCCTGGCCATGCCCAAATCTCTTTAGAAAATAATTAAAGCTATTACTCTTTTGTTTTTCAAATATAATTTTATCGTACTCCATTACTTTTTAATCATTGACAAACTGGTCGCAATCATCATTGAGTTAAACATAAGTATGTATTCATACCTTAATGATCAATTTATTTCATGCAAATCTTATATATATTTTTTCTTATATATATATATATATATATGTATATTGCGTTATGTTTGATACTTTGGCGTATATCATTTCACAATTTAATGGTTGTTTGTTTGTTTGTAATTAAGCACAAAGCAACACAATGGGCTATCTGTGCTCTATCCACCAAGGGTATTGAAACCTGGTTTCTAGTGTTGTAAATTCGAAAACATACCGCTGCGCCACTGGTGTGGGGGCTACAATTTAATGATATATTATTCAGTAATCCTATTTTTCCCCTTCTATAGTATATTTCTAATTTTTCATATGAACTTGGATAGTGTATTGTTATATGACGAAATTCTATTCAACTATTTCTCTCCAGTTTTATACACTGGTTTTAAAAATTTTATTTTGTTTATCATGCGCGAAAACCAAAAACCATTTACTCTGTTAGAAAATATAAATAAATATTGTTCTCTTTTTTTTACTTTTACACGTTTTTAAATGTTTTAGAAAAACACTACAACATGTAATTACACAGTTAGTGTTATACTGAATAATAGTGATTTTGCTGACAATTTTAAAACTCTGCTCCAAACTTTTGATATCTCATCCTTGATATTAAACTAGTTTCACCTTATTTCGTTCAGGTTTTTCGACTAAATACATGCGTTCTTATACATTTCTAACTCCTTCGAGCTAAAGGCCAAATTAGAAAGGCTAAGATTAACGATTCTTTGGTTCATAATATCAATAAAACACGTAGATTGTTAAACAAATCAATGAAACACAAAAATATGAAACCTTATAACCCGAATATATAAATAACAGCTCGTGTTATAGGTATATATTTTTCGTCTTTCAAACATCTTTAGTTGATATGCAACTTAAGTAAATTTCCTTGGGGACCACAGAAGTAAGACTAATTATGTGATCTTTTAGCTAGTGGTGGAAGTGTGTCCATCGAAACAAATTACTAGCATATGTAAGAGCTGAAAATTTCTTTGGCCTTTCTTTCAATTTGTAACCGTATTAAGAGCATTTCATTTGTAATATTGGTACATTTTTAAAACGTTTCAATTTCTCTATTTCTGAAACGATTTCCTTAGTTTTAAGTTTCACTTGTCATGCATCTCTAAACGTATAATGGAATATTGGTAACAAAGACTGGTTGATACTTACAGTATGCTTCCAATTCAACATCTAACTGACGTACAGTTCCTCTTCGCCACCAGCAAAACTGGGGAAAACTGACACTCTTACACTGATTGATCACGTTCCAAATCGCGCCACAAGATATTGTTTTTGTTTTGGTTTTTTACGTTTACCCCGCCATTACCGTATCCCTCTTTAATCATAGTCTCCAAAATACCTTGGACAAGGTATCAGGAGCATCTGTATTTATAAATAACCAAGAAAAGTTTCTTCGATACGAATTAACATCTTCTGCATTTCTTGCATATAAATAATAATTTGATGATGCGTTGACATTAAGTTTTGATATTTAGTTTTGTATGTAAATTTATTTTAAAAAATATTTGGCATTTTTAAGTGATGATGATTTTTTTTTATTGACATGATTTTTTAAAAAGTTGTTAAGAATGAAACAATTAAAGCATTCTTACTTCTTATTTGATAACCAGCTTACTAATGAAAATCATGGAATTGTTATGCATTTTAGGCTTACTGCATGTTATCACTAGAAGAACTGGTTACAGCGAGGCCTACTTGAATTCAAATAATTGATAAGCAGAAGATATGTTAATAATACTTGTATAAGTAAATCAGTATTGTTTACATGCAAAACAGATTTTTGGGGTGATTTTCTTAATATTCACCGCTAAACAAAATCATTTTAAATCACACCACTTTTACTTGTACATGTTTCATCTTTAAAATTGTCATTCTATTCAACCGCGAAATAATTATAATTGTCTTTAATCTTATTTGTCGTAGCTGAAGTTTTTATCTAGAAAGATCTGACTGAAAATTCAATAGTTTTATAATATAAAGTAAATAACATTACTCTACAATCGTCATTATGATATATTACACTCTCCAAGTTACGTTAAAATTATTCTTCACAAAATAACACGATCTTATCCTTTTTTAGAATGCATGGTTTCTTCATTGGGTAACCTCGCTGTTAACGCTGTTTTCAGTCTTAATCCCAATATCTCACAAGATTCGGCCTGCTTAAAGAATTTGAGCTAATCCTAAATACAAATTTTAAGCTAACAATGCAAAACAGTCTTTATATTAAAATGATAATAATATACAATAAATCAAAATAAGCGGTAGCACAACGTGTAAATGAAACCAACATTAGATATAGTATATCTTATTCATGGAACACAATTTCGTATATCTTATTTATGGAACACAATATAGTATGTCTTATTCATGGAACACAATATAGTGTATCTTATTTATGGAACACAATATGGTATATCTTATTTATGGAACACAATATAGTATATCTTACTTATGGAACACAATATAGTATATCTTACTTATGGAACACACACAAAAGCTAGATTCGACAAGACAATTTACAAAAAAATCTCAAGTAGCCAACAAACGTGCTGTTTGCTTTCAATTAAACATTGAGGCTTTTTTAGAGACTTTAATAACGATTAACTTGGGATTAACATGCATAAGATTTAGTTGACCTGATATTGTTCTTAAGTGGTTTGCAATCTTGTCGATCACGTTTTACGTACCTCATTTATATACCATTTACTGACAGATTTAATACCAAAGCAGTTGGGTATATCTAGTGTAAACCTTATAATTTTGTGTGATGAGCGTACTCGATAGCTTTTACTGATTGATTTAAAAGAAACTCGTTGTTTTTCATCAATATATAAGTGTTCTGTTTAATAGGGATTTACTTTAGTGAAACATATACGCAAAAGATTATTACAGCTACTGTGATATCGATGTAGTCTACCGGAAATTCAAAGACAAAAAAAATCTCAAAAATACTAAAAGTATATACATTCTCAAATATCTTGTGGTAATCAGTAGATATATATATTCTTCTTAAGACTTATAATACTGATGTTTGATTATGACTTTAATTCTACATGTAGCATTATTAAGACATTTTTGAACGAATTCGGGCAAACAGTTAGAAAACTTCCAAAAATCGTACCTTCTTTGAAGCCTAGCCTTCACACTTCGGTAACGGTAGTTTTGACACTTTTTGTGATGTTCCTGTTACGACGACCAAGGAAAGCAGTGGTGATGTGATTGATATTTTTAGCCACAGGAGCCCGGCAGCAGAGAGTACTGCGAAACTTCTGTCGAAACTTCTGACTGAAGATACTGTAGAGAAGAGGGTTACAGGCAGACGAAACGTAGATCATGGTGTTGACGAAGATCAAGTAGGACCAGGTTTCTTGGAAATGGGTCTCAGAAAAGGTGTTGTAAAATAACAGAACTTGGTGTGGCGAGAAACTGAGAAAATACACACCAACACCAGCGATCAGCATCTTCACTACGCCTCGTCTTGCTCTCATGGTTTCAGCATAAACTTCTTTTCCTATAGCTGGCTCGATGGCGCGAAAGCTGGCTTCACCAAATAGCTGTTTTCCAATCTTTATGTATAATATGATCTGGACAAGCAATGGAAGCAGATAAAACATGACAAACTCGGAGTACTTAAACAGCAACAAGAACAGTGGTCGTGGAAATAGCATCAAACAAGGTGTGAACCCAGGCTCAATCATCTGAAGCTTATGTAGAAATAGATTTGGAGAAGCGCAAACCATAGCCAAAGGCCAGATACAGCCAATCGCAACAAGGATACGACGTCGGCAGCAGTAAATATGAGCTTTAATAGGGTGTATTATGGCAATATAGCTGAAATAGTAGAAAACATATGTATTAATTCAACTAACGTGGAAATATTTAGATGTATTTAAATTATTAATAAATTATGATAAAAATAAATTAAATAAAAAAAAATCTACTTTAAAAGGTAACTTATAAGTTAATGAATCCTATTTTATACTAATGTCACAAAGCAATACACAGGATAATGAACCCCTATTATGATTATTATACTTTGAATCATCAGCTGAGTAAACTCGTTCTTAACTATATTTCCAGTCATAAAGTTCGACAAGCTTTCAAAATTTAAGTTCATTCTAAACCCTCATCCTAAACTAATAAAGCAAACTTATCGTCATAAGTGTAAAGCTTAATAACACAAAATTAAAATAGCACAGTAATTTTAGATATATATATATGTGTGTTTACTGGAGTGGCTACTATAGCAAATGTATATGATAAATTGAAAATAGTAGAAATATAATTATACATAAATATTTAAGATGCATATCAAAGCAACAGTGCAATCTGTTTCACTATACCATGTAGGAAACGGAAAGTTTTTATTAACATCAAAAAAAGGTGATTTGAAAATCATTATTTATAAAATATAGTGACAATTGAAATTAATAGTTTTTGTACATATAACTCAACTAGGACCTTTTTTTTTATAAGGATGAAATTAAATACACCCAAAAAATACACTGATATTTTCTAGAAATTTGCACGTCAGGGCTCCCTGTATATCTGTCCGCTAGAACGCTAGAATCCGGGTTTCGATACCCGTGGTGGGCAGAGCACAGATAGCCCATTATGTAGCTTTGTGCTTAGTTACAAACAAATAAACAAACAAACTATTAGGTGCATCTACTTTAATGACAGTTTACGTTGAATGTCTCATCATATAAGCCAGTGGTTCCCAAACTCTTTTATTCTGAGGCCCCCTTGATGTGAATAAAAAAAAAGAGTCCCTCCAACATATAACTTTAGCATAGCGATTGAAAAACAGTGCCGTAGTAAAAACAATAACATTTACTTTCGACATACTGTATCATTTAATTAATTCAACGTAATTTTATCGGCTTATTGTTTATTTATAATTAAAATTCATTCAACATTTTTTCGGCCCATTTTTGGCAGCCCCCAGAAAAAGTTTCACGGCTCCCACTTTGAGAAACACTGATATAAGCGATGGAATGATGATTATCTTTTGCAGATACCATCTTTAAAACTATAAAACAACGTATTTGCCTTATTAGAATAACACTTTCTGTAGCGCTTCCAATGCGTAACACTATCACGTAGTATAATTTATGAGTTTTAGCGTTCAAGTTCTGACTGCTACGTTTTTCACTCGAACTATTTAAAATCTGAAAATTTACAATTTAGCTTCTTTTTTTTTCGCGCAAATTAGTGTCTGATTATAGGGTGAGCAACTTAATACGGATTCAAGCAAGTCTAAAATTTTGTTTAACATGAGCATGAAATGTTAATAATACGATTCCTTTTAGCTTAAACAAGTAAATTAATATACGTTTTATCTTCTTGTAAACAACACACAACAAGCAAGATTAAGATTAACCTATTCAGAGTTTTAATTAGTGAATTTGTAATAATGTGATCGGTTCAGCAGCGGAATACTTCAAAAATAGTGTTTTAAAAATATAATCCACTGTCTAAAAACTTTACGTTTATTTCAAAATGTATTTATAAACATAAATTTTGGGTCTGTGTTTCTTGTTAAGCACAAAGCTACTCAATAGATTTTTCTTTGTGGTGCCAGCTGCAGGTATCGAAACCTAATTTTTAACGTTATAAGAACTAAGACTTACCGCTGAACTACCGAGGGCCTAAGTTAGAGTCTTTTGGAAGTAATCATTACATTTTAAAATCAGTAAATAATAACTTGATTAATAATAATATAAATTTAAGATTGCGTACACATAAAATTAAAAGCTCTAATACATAAATTTATCTGAAGTTTGTTTGAAGGGAGGTAATCAAAAAACAAAAGAATAAACTTAATTTCATTTTAAAAGATTGCTATGTATTTGTTATTGTTTACCAGGTCATCTAGATTAGGCAAAGATTGTACCAGTGATGCCTCACACTAAATCGTATCACTATACTGCGTACAGGAAAATTACAATTTTCAGAAGCGTGTTATGTGATTTAATGTAATTTCCTTCCTTGAGATAACGATAATCGGGCAGGACGCTTCCAAGAGTGCAACCATTGTATTGTTCATTTTAATGCAAATATGCCGTAGACAAACAATATTAGACTTGCTGAAACAGTAAATTAAATGTTTCCATTAGAAGCATATGATTTATGAAAGGTAACACTCTTGATATCAATTATTCATAAATATCTTGTTTAACCGTCCTTAGTGATAGAATGTATTTTGCTACATGATTTTAAGCTTTAATAGTGGCCCGGCATGACCAGGTGGTTAAGGCACTCGACTCGCAATCTGAGGGTCGCGGGTTCGAATCCCTCACACACACCAAACATGCTCGCCCTTTCAGTCGTGGGGGCGTTATACTGTGACGGTCAATTCCACTATTCGTTGGTAAAAGAGTAGCCCAAGAGTTGGCGGTGGGTGGTGATGACTAGCTGCCCTCCCTCTAGTCTTACTCTGCTAAATTAGGGACGGCTAGCGCAGATAGCCCTCGTGTAGCTTTGCGCGAAATTCAAAAACAAACAAACAAACAAGCTTTAATAGTTTGAGATTTTCACAAATAATTCGATGTATGAGATAGATATTAACTCCATCAGTAGTTATAGGGTTAATTACAAAGCACGACATATATTTTTCAAAACACAAAATTGAAATATTCTTTGTGTAAATATTTGAAATTATGATACATGAACTTTATTTGTATATTTATATTATGCACTTTGACAATATCCAGTGTAATAATATCTGCTAAATATCAAAAGGTTCAACCACATTACTGTACAAATATACCCCTCCCCTCAAAGCGACTATTTTGAAAATATCTGTCAAAACTATGTCGAATCTATGTAATGAAACCAGATTTTTAGGGTTATAGATAATTAATCATACATGGAATCGTTTTTCCCTAAATGTGTACTTGTCGTCTTCGTCACTTTCGGTGAAAGAAAAGGGCACTTCTGACATTTAACATCAAGATGTGCTCATTATATCGATTAGAAACAAGTTTACGGATTTGGAAATACAAACTCTGTTTTTTGTATATGATACCCGGGAAGAACACCAAAGTGGTTTTCTCAATGTTGCTTTGACTAAGGCAAAGGAAATCTTAATCATTCAGTGTTGTTGGACAGACGTTCTAGTGTATGTCCCCTTCACCCATTTTTATATATTAGATGGTGAGTAACACAGAACTATTGGTAACACTAAATGATTAAGCGTGCTTCTTTTTAAGTTATTTTTCTATAGTAGACGATCAAATTGAGATCATAAAAACTACTTTTTCTGAACGTTTGTAGGACATATACTATTGGTTTTTGTTATTGTTGGTACTTTAGCACAAAGCTACACGATGGGTTATCTGCACTCTGTCCACCACGAGGAATGGAAACCCGAATTTTAGCGTTGTATATCAACGGATTTACCGCTGATTCATCGATGGATAAAAATATATGCACAACTTGATAACAGTAGATACCAAAAGCTCTACATATATATATATTTCTTCGTGACGCATGACGAATTTAGCACTTTAAATCTCACACGTAACTGATATGATGGTAATCTGACTGTATAGCATAGTTTTTATTGTCTTTAGTTGTGGATTAAAAAAAAAGACTGTTTTATCATTTATCAGCACCGTCATCGTTGATATACTTACCTATCAATGGTAGATAACTACGTCTAGTTAATTACCAAAGTGTCTGCCTCTCTATTTAATTGGTAAACTTGGTTTATGTGAATGTTGTTCATTTTTCCGGTCTATCGAGTCCATGACAAACTGTGAAGTATGATTTTGAAAAATATTACGTTTTTTTATCTCAATAGATATTTTAACATGTGAAATAACTCTCCTGTTTGAGAATGTAACTTCACTTTTATACATTAATTTTGTTTAATTAACATCATAACTAAAAACATTTTGACGCAAGGGTTGAAATACGGCCTATTTCACTTAATTAGAATGTAACAAAACTAGATACAACTCGATTTGTTTGTTCTTGAACGTAAAAACTATTCATTGAGCTGGGCTGTTTGTACTATCGAAACCCGAATTTTACTGTTGTAACTAGTGAGACTTACCGCTGAGCCACCAGGGGTTGGGGGTGGGTTAATAACTTCTTTAACGTCTGCTTGTAAAACTCAAATTATATTATTATGTGAAGAAAACTGGCAATTGCTAAAATTTCAGCCAAAGATTTTAAAATGTAAATTCCAAATATTTTGTAAAGTCAAATAATCAATGATCTTGTTTTTCCAAGATTTAAGATTGAAGTTCACTGACACATATAATTCGTTCGTCCCTGGTTAAACTAAACTGAATTCTTAATGTTTAGTGATCCTAACTAGTTTTCTCATTAAAATGATATAAGATGTGTAGAATAAATTATACTTATAAAGCACAATAAAATCTGTGTATCTGTCTGTTTGTCCGTTATCTAACTACTCCTTGGTCGCTGGGTCAATCTCAACCAAATTTTGTGTGGGATGATAGTTTAGAATAAGGAACACCCCTTGTTATCGAGCATTTACTATTTTTGACGTAAGCTAACGTTAACTATATGCATAGATGGCGCCACATCGTTCCACCAAAAACAAAAAACTTCATTACATTTTCTATAAAACAACATACACATAGTGTGGAGGGAGGGTACACAAACGTCTCAGTGCACTTTCTATGGAGGAATGCAATGAAAAAATGGCCGCCACTATTGGAATACTACATAAACTCAGCTGAAGTTTCTACTTCAACAGCCACCATAAGACTGATATGAAGCGCTGTTTCTTAAATTATACCTATTTCATGATTTGACCCGTTACCTTTCAACTTCGGCCCGTCAGATACTTGTTC